CGGATAGTTGTTCCTCAAGCAGAGAAGGCTTCTTCACTCGGCACTGAAGTAGTTATCACAGACAAATAATCACGCGGCATCCTCCTGATGCGCGGAAACGAAGCTGTTTCGTGCTTCATCCAATTGCAGACAGCTCGACTGGTTGTTTTAAGGGCCATGGATCGATCAGGGTGCTCTAGCCACCTCGCCAACTCCGTTGCGACCGACTCGCTTGTGCTGTTTACCAGTGTTTCCGATTCCATGTGCTCGTCAATTAGACTGTACAGCGCCTCCGCGTCTTCGGCTGCTTCAATCTGTTTCGGCGTGTTCTCTTCGGAAATGGCACCAAGTTCAAGCTGGTCGTGAGAGCCCTTATAGACGGATTCAAAGTCAGCTTCTACAAGGCGCTATACGCTTTCGACGTCAATGCCAATGTCGAAGAGGTGGAACTTGGCTCGAGGATCGAGCACTGCAGCAATTTGTGCATGCTTCACGACCGGAATGTATTCATCAAGCTTAGTCTTGAACGCGCGCACGAAGTCCTTCGTGTATCAGGAAACAGCATTTGCCGCATTTTTTTGATGCATGTTCTCTGACGAGATGATAAACTACCAGTGCTACGCCGAACGTCGGGTAATTTTTCCCAGGCATCATCGTTGTAGCGTCTTTAATAGGCCGCAGAAACGTCATGAGCTCTACCACATAGCCCCACGTGGTCTCAGAAATAGGTGCAGCTAAGCGGTCATCTGGACCGATGAAGAAGTCTTTGTACCCCTCGGGTCGCCCTCGAATTCTTCGTTGCAACTCTACGATTGCCACCTTTAGCGAGTGGGCTAACGCTAGCTTCGTAAGCGTGCTATTCCATCTTGTCACGCAATCAAGCTCCGGTGCGATGAGCTTTACGTTTACCGACGTGCACCCCCCCCCCTGCAAAGCCTCTAGCAATGAAGGTGAATCAGATAATTTCTTGAGAAAATCACGAATCACGCCGATGCTGTCACCCATGAGTGGACACTGCTTCAGCCCCGCTTTAACAGCTATCTGCACAACGTGCGCAAGGCACCGCACCTGTATAACCCTTGGCTCAGATGGCACATCCGAAGAAGGTTTAGATATCTCGTCAAAAGTTGAAGGAGGCACCGCTTGTTGCGCGTAGGTTTCAATCTGGTCCTGCAGTAGTGCATTAATTGTTTCAATCTTTGTTCCTTTGTTGTTGGCGTTGTCTGTTGTAATAGCCCACAATTTTTAGAACAAAGACCCATGCATCGCCCGAAGTGTATCGACAAGGTGATGCGCAAAAGGGGTCCGGTATGAGGATATTAAACCCTGGTGAATCCAACCATCACTGTCTAAATTAATTAATTTTCACTAATCCAGTGTAGCGTCACCACCATATATCCCTTGTTTGCCACTGACGTCCACATGTCTGTCGTGGCACAGACCCGAGAGTGGCTTCGTACACAGTAATTAAAAGGGGCGTTGTTCACTCGAAGTGGGATGTCAACTGTGGGATAGTGTATCCCCTATCCACGCAGATTTGTGTGGTTTTCTCGTCGTAGAAATCTGCGGTCCTGCGTGCCTCTCCCTCCATTCGTATCCGCGCGCTCCGACAGCACCGTTAGCATCCCCGGAGCTCCACGATGTCTCGCCGCCGGCACGCCGGCGTCCTAGCAGAGGTGGCACATAGCTCGGAGGGTGGAGAAGACGCCTCGTCAGCGAGCGAAAGCTCAGGGTACGTCTCGTCGTCCAGAGAGCAAACAGAAGAGAGAGGAGACAGCGATTTTCAGAGTCCGCTTCCTGCTACGTTTCGGAAGTCCAAGAAAAGAAAGAAGAGCAGCTCTCAACCGAGGCACCAGAAGAGCACGCGTCAAAAGAAGAGGCGGTCGCGGCGCTTATCGTCGCCGCCGAGACATAGTTCATCATCCGACTCGAACGCTGAATCGGATTCGTCTTCTGAAGATCAACATGAACCTACACCAATGCGTCTTAGCCCTCTGGAGAACACTATCCGCGTTCCAGAACTGAATGTGAAACTCTTTGCGGACTGGGAGGATCTAGTGCGCTACTTGGGGAGCTACAGCAGGCGAACGCACCAGGTATGTTTATTGTGTGGATCTAAATGTCTGTCAGTCTCAGACTGTGTACAAGTCTTGGTATTAACAAATGTATTGTGTACGACGTGGAGATGCTTAAAGCCATGCGTTCGTAGCACAGAGCTGTCCAGCGGTTCAATGACATTCGAGAAACTATTCACTGGCTTCGGCACGTAGATTTGACAGATTGGAGCCCCGAAGATTGTTGGCGAACAGGATTGCTGTTCCCAGATGATCTGGAGAAACGTATTGCAAATATCGATGTTCTCGGTGATTATTTTTGGATAACAACCCTCCGAGGTCGCTCTTTAGTGGAGCTATCGTGTTTAGACCTTGCTCTAAATGCGTTGAAGAGCATGTACGACGCAGACAACGAGATTTTCTGCATCCCTTCGTACATGATGAGATTTCCCTCCGTGGATAATCTATTCATTGCTGAGTCGAAGGTTCTAGTGAACCTCCGCGATGCAGTCAAGAGGATGAACCTATGGGGGGAAACCGCCCCTTACACTGCCGTCAGTGGCCCAGAAAGACCAGTGTGGTTGTTTGCTGTTATTCTCTATGCTAGCGACCACTGGTGTGCCACCGCTGTAAACTTTAATGAGCTCACTATCACGATATTCGACCTTCAGTTAACCGGAGACAGATTCGAGACTCTAAGAAGATATCTTCGTGATGAGCTGGTCCCGTTGTTGCCGCTGCCGCCGTCACCAAAGCGCTACCGATTCAAGCGAGTTGAATGGGTAGCGCAAGTGGATGACTATAACTGCGGAGTCTTCGTGATAATGTTTTTTGAAATGCTCCTGCTAGATGTCGTTCCGACCGGGTTTGATACTTCGACTGCGCTGCAGTACTTCCGCTATAGGTACATCAGTCAGATTGTAAGCACAATGTAATCTCATATTGCCTACACTATTGCATCGCTGCTTAACGTATAAGAATTGATCATTAGCTGCGTAGCGAACTCGTTGTTTTAGGCAGCCGTATTAGACACTGCGTTTTTTTAATGCTGGAAATCTCTAAGATGCCCGTCGTTCCTGTTGTGAAGACAGTTTAGCCGATAGCGCTGTTTGTTCTATGAAGAGAAGCGTGACCACAGCTGCCAAGGGCTGTCCAAATTGCTCGCTCTATGAAGAGAAACCTGACTGCCATCTGGCAGCTATACCCAGCACATGGTGAGGCTATCCACCAGATACTGTGCAGGGCTGTGCACGACTCTGCAAGACACTGCAAAAATTACTGACTCATACCCTTCAGACTGTGTACGTAGCCTCTGCCGCACAGACCCAGCCCCTTTTAGTGCCACTAAGAATTGCATACCGAACCAGCCCTTTTTCGCACTTCTAACGCTCTCAATATTTTTTCCGCAGTATCTTGCGTGTTGGTGGCATGTACTCCGAGCAGAGCGTGTCGCAGAACAATCTGAACCTTTTCTTCTCGACAAGACTAAAAGGAAGTGCGTTGGATACAATCAGGGCTATGAGCTCGGAGTCAGCAGCTGCCTTGTCAAACGTACGCTGCCTCACATACCGCTCGAATCCGAACGCAAGTAAATCCTTCTGTCGAGCACCGTTCGTACCCTCCACAGCTTCGTCATCTCCGCGCCTCTTTGTGCCATTTCTGTAAGTGCCGTCGCAATGTGGTGTGAGCGCAGCTGTTCCAACCTGGAGCGGTGTCGGCAGGGCATAACAGACACGTGAACGTGCCGTCCGCGTTTGAGCAGATGTAGGTCCATATATCTGAGCGCCTTAGATTTTTAGTGTGCCTTATACTACTTGACCCGGAATTTGTGCTTGACTCGACCTGACTCTCTATGCTAAAAGTGGAAAATGCGGATGAAGTGAATTAGGAAATGAGATGCTAAATCAGAGCGGGTCCATGTGCAGACCGCACAGCGCAGGCGGCGCTGCGCAGCTGTGATTTACTGAAATAATGAAGTAAGACGCACCAACTACACTTCTGATCGGATCGAATCCGATCCAATCGGATCAACCACATCACACAAACTTGGCAGTGTAGCCGGGCAGGACGCAGTGCTGAATGCCTCCCATCGCCTTCTGTCTTCTCGATGACGTTGCCTGGTGCTTGTGGTTAGCCTGGAGACTCTCCAGGACCAATTGCTAAGTGAACTGCACGCCGCAGCCATAAACTTTTACATTTAATGAGAAGTCATGTCGAATAATTTATTTATAATTGAAGGTACTGTAGCTTAATTGGTTAACAAGACAAGCGAGCGGTTACCAAGCTAAGTCTTTGCAGCTTTATAGAATTCCGTCATTGATCTGTTTCAATACGATCTCCTGTAGAAATCCATATCAACCAAGATTGTGCCAAAATTGTCCAAGATCTACGAAGAGGTGCCCCCTGTCAGAAATGATTGAGCAGCAAAGAAAGTGTCGACAACTAAAAGCGTTGCGACCAAATTGCAAGCGCAACAGAAGCAGCAGTGGTTGCTAAAAGCAGAAGTCATCTGACGACATTTTTTGGGTGTTCAAGCTTGACTAACCCAGTGTGGTCATTTTCACGGACCCAAAAATGCTGGCGTGGGAGAGTTATCTGAGTGTTTTTAACAAGGCACATCGAGGAAAAGAGACAACATTAATTGAGACACTCACAAACCAGTTCACGACACTTGGCACCGTGAAGTTGCTACAAGAGGGGAGAAAATCTGCACCAACGAAAAAGATTGCCGAAGAGTTACAGCTGGCGCAGTTTGCACGTTGGTACTACGTTGGAAAATCCGAAGAAGATCTTGTTGCCATGCTGAAGTTGCCAAAACACTCTTGGCGAGAGTATCCGAACGCTGCGGTTATCCACGCGTACAACAAGTTCTATAATGCAGCGGAATAGAGCTCAGAGAACGTTTAGAGTTTTAGAGCTAGCAATAGCAACAAAAATAGACTCAGTTTCAACTTTTCTCTGAAGAGCTTAGAGCGAAGACTGGATGAGTGGACGAAGATATTTGTCGTATCCATCCGGGGCTTGAGACGAGTTTAATGGCTCACGTTGCGCGTGTTCAACAAGAGCGGTAGATGTCTCCATCGAAGCAACCAAGTGTCGAGTTGAGCTCGAAGTCACTAAAGTTCCAGCCATCTGTCAATCGCACAACATTCTGGCGAACTAGCGGCAACATCGCTGCCAGTTGATGATGCGCCATATCTGCTTGCGCACTTGAGAAGTAGCCGTCATGACGGAAGTTGCCAAGGCCATTGACCAGAAGCCAAACACCAAAAAGCTGACACAACTGCGTCACGGCATTCTTTGTCGTCCCCACGGGCAACAATGCAGCTCCCGCGATAAACCACTTAAGCAGCAACAACTCCGTGTGATGCGTCGACGCTGCAGTCATCAGTACCATACACGCATTCGCGTTGTCGTTTGACTTCTTCATCGCACGCGACAGATTTCGAATAGAGCGAGCTGCTCGAACCTCAAACGCCTCTATCAGCACCTTCAAGCTACCGAGATCTGCCGAACTCTTGGCTCTGCATCGTAGCTTCGGGCTCGAGTAGTAGTCGCTGCGACTTAGAAAGCCTACGAACTGTTCGTTTTGAGCCGTGGCAATGCTCGATAACTCCTTCAACAGATAGCGAGCGTGTTGTTGAACTAGCACGTCGGCTGTGCCTTCATACGTGCAGGATCCCGCAGTCTCAGCGAAGAGATGCGCCAGATTGCTACTCTGTAAGAAACCGTGGCCTCCACAGAGACGACGACAGTGTTCGATGCCGTCGTTCACACGGTCCGCTAGCCACCCTTTTAATCCGGACGAGATGGCGTGTAGCTGAGCCGACTGAGTAGCGAAATCGCTCTGACCGCTGGTGACCATAGCTAGCACTTTATCGTGCATGTCAACCATTGACCGTCCAGCGAAATTGGCTGCGTAGGATAGCGCCACTAATGGCAGCAGAGCGTGTTGCGGGTTCTGGTAGTCCAGCACCGGGGTCTCGCTCGTTAACGTGAGGTTATTATCACTTACTTTACGTCCTTGAGCACGGACAGCACTGAAGCGGGTGGCGATGGTCGTGGCAGCTCCAAGAGCGAGCCCGAGCTTGAGGATCAAGTACGCGCGAATTTGTGTCATAGTGAGGTATACGAGCTTGGAACTCGGCGGTTTAATAAATGTTCCATCTGGTAACACCTTGGCAAAGCGCATGAGCATGTTTCGTCGTGGAATTCTCACGCTGTGGAACACAGCGTACCCATTATCGAGTGAATTAAAACCCACTTTTGGACCGATATCACCCACTTCCACACCAGGTAGCGGCTTGTGGTCTTTTAGAGAGCGTAGAGGGACAATGAACGCTTGAGCACCGTGGTGCACACCGTCAATACGGAGCTGTGCGTGCACAACGGCATGCGTGGCAGTCTTTCCTAGCCCTCCAGGCCACCATTTGCGACTCGTTAAAGAGGGGGAGTTGATGACGAACTCTTGTTTCCCCTTATCGTAGACAGCTGTGGTCTCTAGACCTTGTACGTTCGAGCCGTGACCCAATTCCGTCTGTGCGTAGGCTCCAAGGATCCGATACGACGTGGCGAGAGGCAGCCAATGAGCTTGTTGCTCGTCGTCCGCTTGGTTCTCTAAAGTCGGGTTGAACATGGAGCGGTGTACTTGGATCGGGAGCTTCTCGCCAATAACATCGTACATGATCTGCTGGGCGTCACTGTCCACTTTACCGCTCTGGATGAGCTTCACGTATCGCTGCGTGTGATTTTGAAAGGCTGTGTCTCGCTTTGAGAGCACAAAATGTCGCAGCTTCGGCGTCTTTCCGGTGAACGTTGGCAGCATGGCCACCACGGAGAGTGTTTGTCAGCAACTCGACATCCACATCACTCGACTCTCTTTCGCGCTGCAGCAGCAGAGGTGTCAGATCTTTCAGCTCCATGGACAAATGACGCTTTCAGATCAAATTAGATGATGGCAATTGAGCAGGGCGGCCCGTGTTTTGTTGAAGTGTTTACTTGTCAAAACTGACCTGACTTCAAGTTGAAGTGGGTTAGCAAAAATGGTTTTTGTAGTGTTTGCCCTGCAGTCTCTAATTAAAAAAAAGCTTTAGCGACTTGAAAAACGTGATTTCGCTAAAAAAAAAAAAAAGCTATTTCATTAGCCTGCCTAATTTAAAAAACCAACCGATCTGTTTCTAAAAGTTCCATGTCCTGTAATAAATAATTGTTTGTCTAGTTTGTAAAGATCCAAAAGTCAATAATATTGACTGTACCAAATTTTTGAAAATACCCCCTTTTGTGTAAATATTATTTACACAAAAGGGGGTATTTTTTAACGGATCCGTGATTTTATGTGATTCAACTCCGGGTAGCACGCTAAAACGGACACACAAAAAACTTGATTTATCGGATGCGAGAATGTGCAGAGTAACTGTTCGTTACAAAATGTAGTTTTGTGCGTTGTTGCGCTCTTGCCTTCTTCAAGCTCCTGTGATATTCTGGCCATGGCGCTACCAGATTCACAGGGCAAATAACTGCCACAAATCGCTAAAAGCCATCATTGTCTTGCTTTCAAGTGACAAAGTGGCATCCAAGCCATCTTCCTCAGGATACATCGGGTCAGCAATGACAACCAAGCCATCAGTGACTGGTAGCCGCGGTAGTCCGGCGTAGCTTGCTTTTCCACCGCCAAAATTGGCGTCGTAGGCCCCCATGCGCACCCACGAGGTGACAACCCGAAAAAATTATATGCATAAAAATTAATCCTAATTTTTTAATTTAATTATTAATTTATGGCGGTCAACAACGGCAACTTTAGTGAACAACCCTAATTTAGAGCAAGGTCTAGTCAAGTTACAGCGTGGGGCGCGCTAAACGTCGCGGAAAAAATTAGCCTGCGCTGAATTTAGGTCGAACGTCGTCTTCAAGAGCCGCCGAGGAGTGTTCTATTGTGAGAGCGGCGCTCAAGAAACGCAATTGCGCACTACGTCGACGTCGCGTACATCCCGCCAAAGTCTAACAAGTGTGAGCGCTTCATCTCTCTCGCTAAGCTGATGCTGTCTGATCTACGGAAGCGAATGTCTCCGAGACGTAATGTTTCTGAACTACAATCGTGACTTGTGGGACATGAGTGCGGTGGACAAGGTACGCTCGAGCATGGGCCGGAGTAATGCCAATAAATGAATTATAATTTTGCTCAGCTCACATCGATGTATTAATCTAAGTATTGCATTTTCGGGTTCCCTGCGAAGAGATCTGGCCCATAGAAGAAATCGGTACTGACGCTCACGGCGCTCTTGTCGGCCTGCGACGAGATGAATGCCATCGAATCACGAAGAAATTGGTCGTCCCGAGTTCGAATGATGGACTCGCGAACGCGCTGGGCAACAACACGCAGCGTGTCAACCAAATCGTCGGAAGCGAGCTCAGTCGCTTCATAAGTGGACAATCCGAAGAAGGTGGCGTTACCAACGTAGTTGGTTGGCAATGGCGGCTGGAGGTGAGCACGTGCATTGACACACGTTGCGACGCGGATATCCCCTCCGTTGTCACGAGCTCGAGTGATCAATACGATCAAGAGTGCTGTAAGCGAGTCGATAGTGCTCACGCTCGAGCTCCGCCGGCAAGTTTCTTCAGTCGTCCAAGCTTGTCGGAGGTCAAGTGGAAAGTGCGTTGAGCTGTCGGTGCAGGGTCACTGACCGGCACAGGGATAGGACCAAACATAGGCTTCGTTTTGGCGCTTTCATGTTGAGTACTGAGGTCACTCGGAGTAGCCACACGGAGCTCCGGATGAGGTGCCGAAACCCCATTTCCGTGTCCAGAGAGCAAGTGTCGGTCGTGATTCAGCTTGATTGGTGCTTCTATCTCGTTGGAGGGCCCCCCGGCTAGACGTCGATAGCGTTGCGCCCACACCTTGACGAAGGTGAATGCGGCCTCTCCGTCGAGCACCCCGTGAGCAAAGTTGAGGCCAATGACCAACGCACCGTCCGAAAGAATGGAAGCTTTGGCTGCGATGAGTTGGTGTCTGCCTTCGCGTGGGGGTGGCATGAAGTCGTACGAGAGCGAGTCGAGTGCTTGCTCAGTGGTTTGAGGGCACGCAGGATCCGTCAGGAAAGGGACAGCACTTGCGCTCTTGTTTGGGTCAAGCTTAACGTAAAGCATCCCGCTCCGTACATGATCGACGTGGAGCTCACCTAGTAGGATCGGATAGTCTTGGTTCAGCGTCTCAACGAAAGACGCCCTCAATTTTTTCAAGTTGTAGCGGTGGGCGTCCGTGGCCTCGTAAATGTACAGGATCGTGACGCCGATGTTGGTCATGACTGCGTCCATGGGGGACAAGTCTACGATGTTGGAAGCGTTGTCGGTGTGGAGAACTCGATTGTTTGCAGGGAGGAAATTGGAGAATGAGCAACTGGTTTGGGGTGGAAATGCTGCCGAGACATTTGAGTTGGAGCTGACCTAGCTAAAGTGAGCAGTGAAGTACGAAGATGTAGGAAATGTAGAATCGAGTAGATGTGAATGACTTGGATTGAGCGCGCGCCAGACGCGTTTCGGCCCCCGCCGGGGCCTCGTCAGTCGCTTTACCAATCTCGAAGTGAGAACTAACCAACCATCCGCTAACTAAGACCTATCACTATGCCTAGACCCTTCTAGAACCTTCCATATGCCGTAACATAGGATACTACTCTGGAGTCGATGTACGTGCACATCTTGCACTTCCAACACTCCCCCTCGACGACATGAGTCGTAGCCGTCTTGGTCACGAGTGTACAGCCATCGGCTGCTCTCCGCATGATGCTTGTCAGCTGCAGCCTCTTCACTGCATACATTCTTGTAGGGTTTACCACCTGCGCGCTGGCCAGCGTAACCGTTGCTGCCGCGATCGCTAGGTTTCCCGGCTCCCTCATGTTCACCATTACGTCGTCTCTTGACACCTTGTAGGCGTCCTTAAGCCTTGCTTGAGCTTGTTGTTGTTCTCCTTCTCGATCGACCTCTTTTGATCCACCACTCACACCACTCGAAACCACCTCCTTGTGCAGAACTCGGCCGTCCTTTTCCCGAATGCAAAGAGCGACTGCGTGTCCACCGCGCACTTGTATGTTCCGCTCCCCCTGTCGTCGGAGCCCGTTGCTTCCGCGACGACTTGAGCGTGAACTCCCCCAGCGCGTATTCCGCGTACACCGCAGTGCCCATACCAAGCCGTTTGGGCTCATAACCTGTAGGAAATGTAGAATCGAGTAGATGTGAATGACTTGGATTGAACGCGCGCCAGACGCGTTTCGGCCCCCGCCGGGGCCTCGTCAGTGGCTTTACCAATCTCGAAGTGAGAACTAACAAACCATCCGCTAACTAAGACCTATCACTATGTCTAGATCCTTCTAGAACCTTCCATATGCCGTAACATAGGATACTACTCTGGAGTCGATGTACGTGCACATCTTGCACTTCCAACAGGGCGTCCGTGGCCTCGTAAATGTACAGGATCGTGACGCCGATGTTGGTCATGACTGCGTCCATGGGGGACAAGTCCACGATGTTGGAAGCGTTGTCGGTGGTCATCGTAGTGGAGAACTCGATTGTTTGCAGGGAGGAAATTGGAGAATGAGCAACTGGTTTGGGGTGGAAATGCTGCCGAGACATTTGAGTTGGAGCTGACCTAGCTAAAGTGAGCAGTGAAGTACGAAGAAGCCTTGAAGATACATGTACAGTAGACTCCTTCAATATAATAGAAAGAATAACTTATTTGATTTCAGCGGAAAGATTAATTTAAAACGTGTTTGTTACGTATTCTCAAATCGCACTTACTAAATATGAAAGGGTATCGAAACAACGATCTTTGTTTAATTTTTGATTCGCAGCACAATCAAATTGAATTACGTCAGGTGTTGAACAGTCTTCAGCGTACTGATTTTCATTGACCCGGGGCCCATGGTTTAGCATCGTGATTGTTGCAGTTACACCGTGAGCCCTCTGAGTGAGTAGCAACTACAAACTTCCCTGTGCAAGCTAGCTTTACAAAGGCCTTCAAAAGAATGTTTGTCCCGTATTGGTAAAAAACCGCCATTGGACGCCTTCCAAAAATATAGTAAGCACCTGACATACCTGCAGCAGATATTGCAGGCTTAACGATCGAATAAAATCCGTGGGGCGTAAAAATCGTCTGAGTAATCTACCCTTCCCCTATATTTAATCTCTGTAGCCATCTTATCGCTAGATCTAGAATTTTGTATTAGAAATGCTGACCATCGCTCTGAACTGACCCACAATCACTCTCTCTCTGCATATATCTCGCATATCTCATTTTTGCGCTCAAGTTGAAGAAGCCCACACTTTCGAAAATCGGTCGTTGAGGGCAAAGTGCCGCCATCGTAACGAAAGGTACGTACTCAAGAAGCTTGGAGAAGAATGTTTGCCAATTAGCAAACAATACGTGGCCGAGTGAACCATCTCCTGCAAGTAGGAAGCCAATTAGCTTCCTACTTGCAGGAGATGGTTCACTCGGCCACGTATTGGCGCGAGCGGTGCATTGCAGATTCGTCGACGGAGGAGGAGAACACGCCGCCTAATCTCCACACTGGTGTTGCCGATAATCTGGACGGGTACAGCTCAACAGGCACTTCGTCTGTAGTGAGGGATACGCCGCCGCGCAAGCCGAAGCCGGGGGGCACTCCGACAGTTGGTGAGGGGTTGCGGGCATCAGCATCTCCGTCACACACGCGCGCGCCACGCAGCCCCGACGACATCATCACCGGTGATGCTGGGGGGCGCCTCCATCGCCACTGCTTTCGTCCGCGCCCAAGCGTTCCTCTACGCGAGCATCGTTCATCACGGCGAGAGCGTCGGGCTGCTGCTGACCCATACCGCCGACGTCATGGCCATCCTCGTGAGCCAGCGTCATCGTCGCCTAACCCCCGGGGACTCCTGAGAACAAGCCCCATCTCGGCTCTAAAGCCGCGTGTTGCTGTGTCCCGTTCTCGCGACCGCTTTGTACCTGCAGACTGGCCGTGTCGAGTGGCCAATCTGCGCACCCCGTTTAACCCGACCGGTTTGGTGTTCCCGACGGTGGCCCACTTCGGCTGGTGTGAGTGCGCGCTGCCGTGCCGTGTGGGTACGTGCAGGAACTCACTGATGCAGATTTTCTGCACGCCAGGCTGCTGTCCTTACGAAGCCAATTGTGGGAACGCCTTGGGCGAGTCCTCTTCGGTTTTCTTGGCGCGGAATGTTTGCACACGGCAGTTGGCGGTTGTAGCGGCTGAAGACATCGAAGCGGGTGAAGTGCTGGGCGAATATTTGGGCGAGTTAGAGCATGTGAGCGTCAATCCCCGCGGCCGACCTCGAAACGAAGGTTATCGTCTTGTTATGACACAGAGACCGGAAAGGCCGAGCCACCCGATCCGTGTCGCAATCAACGCAGAGAGCATGGGCGGCCTAATGCGCTTCGTTAACCACTCCTGTGCGCCGGTGGCGCAGTTCGTAGAGGTGTCGAACGGCCGTCGCACCACCGTTGTCGTTGCCACGACGGAATACATCCGGGAAGGAGAGGAAATCACCGTCGACTACGGGACGGATCTCTGGTTCGTGTGTCGTTGCGGCCTCGCGACCTGCCGCCACCGCGAGATCCAGAAAGAGCAGGACCCGTAGCGTGCGTGCGGGTACCAGCAAGATGTGAGCGTGATGAGTAGAAGCGGATACATACTAACATCCTGTGAATGAATGTAATCATCTTCGAAAGTCCACGCTGGTGTTGAAGTGAAGTTGTACGTATCTTCATTTCGAAGCTTTACAGTCTAAGTTGAAGCTGGAGGACGGGGTTTCGCGCCAAAACAAGAGCCCCCAAGAGATACTAATGGTAAGAAAAAGCTTCGGTCTCCGTTAGCGCACTCGGTTGGGCGCGAACGCATCTTGTAGCTTCTACTGACGCTCGATTTTGGTGGATAGAGGCCAAATAGCACCGCCGGCTCCGCGCAAAAGCGCGGCGTTGACAAGGCGACTATGGAACTCTCATTACTGGTTTTGCCAAGCTTCGGGCAAGTCCAACCCCCGTTCTCGACGTAGCCCTCGCCCTTCAGTGCCCTCAGCGTTCTCAACGACCCCGGTACTTGTCAAAACCTCTCCTGTGCTCCCGCTAAAGCCTTACTAACGTTTTGTCTATCGATGCGCTCGTGTTCTTACTTGTAGATGGCTAAACTAACAGGGAGTACAGACTACAAACTTTCCGAGGTGCAACTGCCAACTCTCGTCGAGAAGTTTCTGTCACTTGGTAAAGATGAGTGGGAACGTCTGGCAATCTCCTATAACTCAAACCGAGGTCGTAGCATCTCCGAGCGTGATTACGAGAGTCTGCGGCGAAAGTTTAAGATGCTCTACAGCACCCGCAAACCAACAGGTGTGGCGGACATGCCTCCACATATCAAGGAGACGAAGCTGCTGAAGAAGAACATTGACGAAAAGGCGGGGGTGACGGAAATGGACGACGGTGCCGATGTCGACGGCCAATTCGAAGATGAAGAGGACGACCAGCCTGACTTCAGCTTTGACTTGGAAGGCGTTGACGACATGGTTAACACCTCCGCTGTCAGTACAACCAGCCTTTACTCGGCCACCAACCTAGGCGAAGTGTCGGTCGACGACTCCACCGCTCAAATCGCCGGCATGGACGAGCTGATGGATTCGGCTGCTGGGCGCGAAGGACTAGAGGCGTTTGCAAACACTTCGGGACCGTCCCCAGTCTGTACCAGATCCTCGCAACGACAGGACCGATCCACCGGTTTGCCGAAGCCGAACGTGCCGCAAGCTTCGACCTCAAGCGTCATCAGCGTGGAGAAAACCGCCTCGATCCGAGCTGACGACACAGAGTATTCGAAGCGATACCACACGTCTTCCAACCGCCTCGGCGGTGGCAACCTAGCCGAAATTCGAAGCATCAGTGGACGCAAACGCGGAGCTGACGGCGACGATGACCTCTCGGAGGCCAGCTACGCCAAAGTGAAGAGAGTTAAGGCTACGAAAGCGGCCAACCAATTGAAGAAACGCCTCAGTGACCTGGAGACAGATGTCTCCGCGGTGGGGGGCAATATCGTTGAGATGATGATCCTCATGCGAGAGGACAGCGAACGCAGAGGTGAAGCTCGTCGTGCCGATGAAGAACAGCGCCGACGCAATGAAGTCGCAGCACGGGAGGCCCTCTGGCACGCCGAGAAACTTGAAGCTGAAGAACGCCGCCGCCAAGAGAAGATGGAGATGGAAGAACGAGCTCGTCGCGATAGGGAGGAAGCCCGCGCTCGATCGCAAGAGCTCATGTATTTCATTGGTGCCCTCTCAAGAAGGAGTGAGAAGATATACGGTCAGTGCTTCTAGCGTTAGAAGTCTTATCCAGAAACCAGCCCACAGAGGGAGGAAGTCCACTTCGTAGCGTTGCATATTGAGAATAGCCCTTGATAGAGAGCGAAAATCCCACAAACACGATGCTAATTGTCCGTCATCTCCGCTTGTATATAACTCGTAGTGAAACTACTCATGCAAAGGAACTTTGACACTGTTCTTCAAATACATAATCCCAACCCCGTGTTACAGGGAGATCTCCATCGCGCCTGTAAACGTCGTTCGGATTTCCGAAATGCCCACCGTGCGGACTCGGTAATTTGCCATCCGAAATAGGTTGTTTAGTCGCAGTCCACGGAGCTTCTGGTCGTAGGGAAGCGGCAGGTTCAAGCGACTGTAAACCTTCTGCACGCTGCCCATGCCCCACTCAGCAGCCTGTCTCACCGACGTGATGGCGTTGTGCAGGGTGCGCGCCGAGCTTCGTAGCGACGGTTGAATCCTCTCGAGATCCCCGTCCTTCAACGGCGTCAATATTCTCCCGGTCATCGCCGTGGAGCAGGGAAACGCCGAATCTGACACGACGTTCATGCGCACATCCGGACAGTAAGTAGGATCCAGGAGCTTCATGCGAAATCCCAAAGAGGTGTCGGAATCGTTCCAGGACCCAGGGCAGTTATGCTTGGACCATATGATGCACCCGTCGGCGGCGAAGCAGATCGTGCCGGTCACCAGCACGGAGTGTAGCCATCCGTTGTACATTGCATTTTGTAGGTCAGCATTAGATGGTTGCTGCACCTGAAACATATAAACAGCAACAGAAGAATATTAATTGGCATGTAGCAATAAAGAGAGTCAGTATAGAGACCCACACGAAAGTTCTTGCCGTCTATGAACCCGAACGTGTGTTTCAATAGCGGCTCGCGGGAATTGACCAGCGTCGCCAGCTCTCGCTGTCGAGATGGCGACGGCCATGAAATACGTGCTAGATAGAAGTCCTGAAGGGCACGCGACAATGCTTCTTCGGCCTTACGTAGCGAGCGCGACAACGTGCTGGGAGGAACCCCGAACAACATGCACAGAGTCGCGTTCTCCATTGAACCCACGTAGAAGCAAAGTACAAGTCCTAGGGCTTGATGGTGATATCGTAGCTTCGGTGGCCGACCTCTACTTCTCGCCGAAGGAAGGTGGTAGAAGCGCGAGAATCTTTTAAGTAGGTGTTTAAAGGCAGCTCTGCGTAGTATATAGTAGCAGTTGTTACGAACAGTGCGAACATTATCCGCTCGTCAATAAAACCTACCTCGTGAGGCTTGTAGCGTTTATGAAGTTCGTGTCGAGGCCGTTCCGGTAAAGGGCCATCCACGCGGCCGCACAGGGTGTATCCAAGCATGACACCGTCAGGTAGTGACGTGTACGCATGGCAACGCGCCACGCGCTCTCCATCATCTGCTGGTGCACTTCACGGCGGACACTACCCAAACTAGCTTCGCGCCACGAGTGTGCGGCGCTCAATAACAGCAGCACGTCAACGTCATCGTCCTCCTCGTGCATCTTGTTGGCGAGAGTCTCTAAAGGGGAAGTGGTGAGCTTCAAGTACAATTTTTTTAGTCCAATAGAAATTGCCGCAATGTATAAAAGTGCTAGTAAACTCAAGTACCTTCTTGCGGAGGGGACACTTTGCACTGGCCTAGGTTCCTCCTCTTACTAGATTTGTGGTGGGGCACAAAACATATAAGTCGACATAGAGGTCGATAAAACCTGACATATCTGCTGCAGATATGTCAGGTGCTTACTATATTTTTGGAAGGCGTCCATTGCCAACCAACTACGTTGGTAACGCCACCTTCTTCGGATTGTCCACTTATGAAGCGACTGAGCTCGCTTCCGACGATTTGGTTTTCACGCTGCGTGTTGATGCCCAGCGCGTTCGCGAGTCCACCTTGTAGCCACCGATGGCCTAGTTATACGCTGACCCGGTGTAGCATACTTGGATGTCATTTTGTCCCTTGAGAGCAAGGCAAAAAGGTGTTTTGTTACACTAGCGACGTACATGTATAAGTACCAACAAATGGTAAAAGGTCTAGCAATGTACAAGTTCATTTTCTACAAACGCCTAGTGTTCAAAACTGACTTATTCCGTTCGATCCGGATGGCCAGACTACCTGTTTTGTGTATCGAGTAGAGCTATGCGTCATTCTTCGGATGGCAACGCGAACACTGGGGCTACCATTGTGCTCTCGAAGCGCAAGGCCATGAAGAACATTTCAGTGAACCAAAACTTGACGTTGGTGATGGAGGTGCGTATCCAGCCACCATGACGGAGGATGCAGCCGCTGTCACGATTAACGTCAAGAGGAGCAAAACCCAACGACGTCGTCATCTGCGTCCACTTGTAAGAAGCACCAAGACATTGCTGAACGGCGTTGTGCTGCAAGGCAGTGTCAAAAATCACGTATTCTTCTCCCAACCGAACACGCCACAGCAACTCCAGCGAGTTGGACGAGCTCTGAGTGTGCGGGTTAAACAGCACACGATGAATCACCAATGCGTCGCGGTTAACCACCTGCAGAACTTGCACCTAAAAAAACTGTAAGCACCTGTTTAAAACAAATGATAAAAAACATCGGGCACAAACCTTGATTGGGAACGCAGGACTGAAGAAGCAGGAGTACGTAGCAGGATTGGACAGTGTATCCCAAGTAAAGTTCATCAAATGCAGCGCTCGTACGTTCGGAAACCCTTTGGAGAGCACAAATTTAACGGAAGATTCCTCCATTTTACGAAAGTCGCTCCATCCCATGACTGACGCGCCGGAAGTTTTAAACGTATCATCGTGTCGAGAGAGCTCGTACTCTTGTTGCGCATTGTATTGCACACTCGCTAAAACATGAGGCGTGATCGGCTCGTAAAACTCCTTCACAAGCTCCATCTGATTCTGGTAAAATGAAAGAAAAAAAAAAACAATAAAAAGCATCAGTTTGATACTTCTCACTAGTCCGGTCCGTAAAAGTGCATCTATTACCTGCATCAAAAGCTGAACAGGGTCCACATGAGGCACTCGAGGCACTGAGGACGCCGCAGCGTCCACTCGTCCTTGAAGCCCACGGTTCTCGACCTTCAAGCTCTTCTCTTCCGCCGAAATTTCGAGATACCGGTATTTTTTCTCCAGTGTCTGCGCTAGTGTCTTGGTGCGTTCCACCTCTGCCTTCTTGCGCTGCATAAAGCGTCTCTGTACTTCTCGATGACGCGCTCGTCTGTCCTCCTCCACCCGCTTGGCCTTGTTACTGTCATCCGCTTTAGCAGGACTAACAGTACGCTTCGTAGTGCTCTGCTTTGGTTTGGGCTTGTCTTCAGCCCTATTGAGCTCCACAGTTCGCGGGGAATTCCGTGCATCTTGATGAGCTGCATCGTAATGTTCCTCCACATCCGACTGGTCCAACAGCAAATGCTCCATGATGCGCTGGTCCGTAGGCGTCCAGCTAGCAGGTAAATCCGCAGTTGGAGGCAGCGCAGACGTCGACTCCATTTCACAGAGTTTCCACAGCAGTGTCGCGACGTCAAAGAGCGGGACAAACAGCGAGAAGGCGACGACCACGGAGCCTAATGAACAGTAGGATAGCTCGAACGAAGAGAGTGAGATCACTCGTGATCAATCGGTAGGGACGATGAGGACAACGCATCTAAAACACCTTGTTTTGCAGGATAACACTTAAGCTTTGTTTTCACTTGGTATTTGTAAGCGCAGCCGGGGGGGATTACCCGACTCTCCTGTGGAAAGGCATTATTTAATGTAAAGAGGTCGTTACCAGCCGCGCTTCGCTTGGCTGGGGCTCGCTTCGCTCGCGATTAATAGATTCTCTCACCTGGGAAGTGCAATGCGCGGCTCGCTGGTGAGCTCGGCGCTGGGCCCGCCTCCGCAAATACCGCGCGGCCCTGCTTCGCGGGCTCCCCGCGCGGGTTTGCTGCGGCTACGCGACCTCGCACCCGCTCGCCTTAGTTGGCGCCATAGCTGCGTCGCCCCTCCCCGGAAGGTGCTATTATGCGTTTGAGGGTGCTGCACACCGTTTCGAACGGTGTTTTTGCAATTTTGTCGACGATGAGCCGATTGATACACTAATACTTACTGCACCGTACCGTGACTCCTGGAGCCAGTTTCACAGCTGTTTTGTGTGTACCTCATAAACGAACAACACTCTGATAACATACTTCAATTTGACCATCATTGTTAAGGACTCTATGCACGACGTCACCAGTCTGCGGATTGAATATACAGCGATGCAGCACGACGCCGTCCTTGTTTATTTCCTGAAGATTTTGCATCCGGATCGTCACTGCAGGATGAAAGAGTTTTGGATGTGTCTCTGGTTTGCACAGCTTGTCATACGTCGTCTTGTGGAAATCGTGTGCGTTGAGATGCGCAAACCGCTTGGTCATTACGAAGCGCGTCGTTCCTTTAGCCACGTCGCTCTTTCGGCGATGACTCCAGCCCAGCACTACAGCTTCTGTACTAGCATAGTTCTTCTCACAGCTCGAAGCCTCAAACTCCAGCAAGTTTTTCCTCAAAAGATCATCCCAATCGGCGGTCGTCAACGGCGTGTAGTGGTCTCGAATTATTCTTTGCTGGTGCTTAGTAACAAGTCAATATGTTCCTGACAGCGGTCCGCACCTGTCGATACCTTCTTTTAATGCGTCATTCTCTGTCTTCAGTTGCTTTTTCGCCTGCAACAGCTCGAACTCTCTCTCGAGTCGCTGGACCTGTTGCTTTACTCGAAGAATTTGGTCCTTTTTCCGCTGCATGAAGCGGCGCTGCATCGCTCTGTGCTTAAACTTGCGTGTTTCGTCGCTTATTTGCCTTGCTAAAAGAGCTCAGAATTTGTTGCGCAATCGGACTCGTCGCTCTTGTATTAAAGCAACAGATATGAGTCAAAAAGTGCGCAGACGAGTTAAGCCGAAGTATTTGGCCAGCATCTACTGACCTGATGCCGCTTGCTGGCTGATTGAGCAGCAATGCCTCGATAATTTCCTGGTCAATCTTAGTCCAATTGGCAGGTAAATGCAGGGAGTCTCCCGTCCGGAGCGATGTGCGATGCAGCATGGCGATGGTCGTGCAATGGGGTTTCTCCAGGACTATTTTCAAACTGGTCGTCACAAATTGGACCGTAATCACTTCTTTAATAAACTTGCATTCAGTATTTAAAAAATGTGTAATGGCTACGAAGCATGATGAGTAATCGGATCAAAATGTGCCATTCGTTTCGTCTCATCTCCCAAATGACAAGCATGGCGTCTGTGTCATCCGTTCCGCTGCACGACCTGGCTCCGCTACTCCTACGTCGCGAGCGGCAATGCAGCGATATCGACGTGGACTTGCTGGCTGACGCTTTGCGTGGAGGTCGCGAGGTCAATCGCCGTCGCAAATTGATGGTGGAGTTGGTGCGTCGTCATCCAGTGCTGTCCCAGCGGAATTCCATGTTCCAGAACCACGAGCAACGCTGCGCTAAAGGCTTGAAGAAGGCTTATCACTATATCAAGCTAGTGCAAGATCAACGCATCGACGACCCACGCGACCAGGAGGAATTGTACGTGGCATTGGGCGAGCGTTTGCCACTCGAAGTGCATCGTGCCATGTTCATCCCGACGCTCGAGAACCAAGCGGACAATGGGCAACAAGCCAAGTGGTTGCCGCTTGCTAGAGGCTACAAGATTATAGGTGCCTATGCGCAAACGGAATTGGGCCATGGTTCCAATGTGCAGGGCTTAGAAACCACGGCAGTGTACGACAAGGAGACGCAGACTTTCATCCTCAACTCTCCAACGTTGACGAGTCGAAAATGGTGGCCAGGAGGTCTAGGCAAGACCGCGACGCATGCCATTGTACATGCCAAGCTACAGATTGACGGAGACGACGAAGGTGTCCAGGCATTCATTGTGCATTTAAGGTCATTGGAGGACCACTCTCCTCTACCTGGGATTGAGCTGGGGGATATCGGACCGAAGGTGGGTTTCAAGTCGCTGGACAACGGATACGCAGTCTTCCGTAACGTGAGAATCCCACGACGAAACATGCTCATGAAGTATGCAAAAGTGCGGAAAGATGGCACGTTCATCAAGCCCAAGAACTCCAAACTGGTGTACTTGACCATGACACAAGTTCGAGCTTATTTGATCTTAAAACTGAGCTTCGTTCTAGGAGCAGCGACGACGATCACGACGCGATTCAGCGCTGCTCGTGTGCAAGGAAAGAAAGCGACGAGCAGTGATGACATGATCAAGGAGTATCAGGTGTTGGACTACCAGAACCAACAGCACGTGCTTCTACCATTGCTATCACTGGCCTATGCTGCCAATTTCGCTGGTAGAGCGATAACAGCACTGCATGACGACACATTGGACTTAGTGACGCGAGGTCACGGCTCTTTTACAACGCAAATTGCAGAGATCCACGCGATATCTTCTGGTTTGAAGGCGTTCCTGGCAGATCGAGTGAATGATGGTATCGAGCAATGTCGTCGACTGTGTGGAGGTTCTGGCTTCCTGCAGTCTAGCAACTTGGCGCATCTTCTTGCAGAGAACGTGGGTGCATGCACATTTGAAGGCACCTTCGACGTGCTGGTGCAACAACATGCTCGTTATCTCTTAAAGGCACATGCTCGTCTACGTCGCAGTGAAGCAACTCGAGGAGATTACGAAGAGACTCCCACCAGCTTCCTGCGCTTCACTGAGCTGTACATTCGTCCTGGTCTTCGATGCAATGCTCATCGTGCTGAAGACTTCGGAAAGCTCCACGTACTGACGGATGCGTTCGAGGTACGAGCGGCTCGTTCGATACAGCGACTTGCTGAGGCAATGGCTTCATCCGGAAACGACAGAAACGCGTGCATGATGCTCATGACCACTGTCTCGACACATCACGCTGAGCTGATGTTACTCAAGTCTTTCGTCTCAGGTGTGTACGCTTTGCCCGCAGGGAAGACGAAGGCAGCGGTTGCGCAGCTCTGTCAGCTCTTTGGAGCGTCGCTGTTAGTGAGAGGACTGGGAGACTTCCGCCAGGACGACTATTTCTCCCACGCTCAAGGGGGAATGGTGCACCAGCAGCTACAAAAGTTGCTGAGTCCAGTGCGCCGTAATGCTGTCCGACTGACGGATGCCTGGGACTTTAGCGACTTTGAGCTCAACTCAACTATCGGTCGCTACGACGGAGATATCTACCGTGCTCTAGTGGAACAAACAAAGCGCGAGCCTCTGAATGCCTCCGAAGTGGTCGATGAGTACGACAAGTATCTGCGTCCCCTTATCCAGTCAGCACTGTAGAAAAAGTTGTTGGTAGAGTACCTGGTACGGTAAAGCCCTAAGTTAGGATTTAACACTACCGTAACCCTTAAACGCCTTTTGCTGGTTCAAGGACCCACGAGTTGGGTAGTTCGGGTGCTAGGATGATTACATGTATAGGCAAGAGGAGACGCACGTCGGGACACCATGGAATATCACATTCGACGTCGATACGGTAGAAACATTCGATGAGGTCGCTTTTGGGAGATGGTTGCATTGATCAGATCCACGAGAGTAAGCTTAGCTGCGGTTGTGATAATGATGCCCCCGGTGGTACACCAGGGAACGCGCTCTCGCACATGAGCTTGGTAAACGTGCGATAGGATCCTTCTTTCGCGATCTTCACTGTGATGTCCTGGTACAACTTACTGCGCATAACTGTGATCTCATTGAGATCATCTCAATCGTGGAGTCATTGGTCACCAACAAAAGTGTGCAGGAGAATTTGCCTGGAGAAACCGCTCAGATTCAATGTAACATCACCAATGTAACATAACCAAATTGGTGATGTTACATTGATACTGAGCGGTATCTCTCCAGGCAAATACATGTGCACACTTTTATCCATGGCCACAGCGAGTTGACATGTAATACGGTTAAAGCAGCTTAGGAACTTGACGTCTTGAGTGGTGCAGTCCTCGCTTGGAACGAGTTCTTTGAAATTACGCTCGTGAATGCCCAGGCTGCAATCTGCCTTCAAGTCCGAAGAGAAGAATCCGTTTACATCGAGTGTCGCTTTGAGCTTGTACTTGGTCTTGGCCGAAGATTTTCGACATCTCCCTGGAAATATCCGTCGATGTAGAATGCACCAGGCAGCTGAGCTGGGAGTTGGTATTCGAACGGATACGTGTAGCGTCCAGGGCTATAACTTCCTCTGGATGTGGCGAAGATCACTAGTTGCTGCTTGAAAAAATCGTTTTCGAGCTCGATTCTGTCACGATGTACTGCTGTTTCGCCATCGCGCGTCTCGTGTCGTACACGCGTGAACTCCACTTTTTTCTTTTCCTGCTACTTTGAGCACCAACGCTGCGCTCTGTTTGTCAGACGTGGAGAGCTAAAAGCGATTCGAATCACAGACTGCTCACCGTCGCACGATGGTATCGTGGACGATGACATGAATGGTCCCGACCACAAGATCACCAGCGATGTAGGACGCTTGTCAACTATGATGCCGATTTTGCCTTTGTCGTCAAAACCGAACGCCTTGCCTAGCTTCCACTTGTTAGCATCTTGAAGAGACGCTATATTTCTTTTACAAACGGAAGCGTTTGGTTACGCGAAACGAGCCATTATTTCATTTGAAGTGAGCAAACCTTCGAAGAGTTTTTTTATATCGGCGAAGCGAAACATTTGACGAGTTTCAAGGCCTTGAGATCATACGCCAGCAATGTCTTCAGTGAGACTCCTTTTTTGACAAGGCACATGCATACCCGTGACGAGTACCGGTACTGTGGTTGGCGATTTGCTGCGTAGGGTGTCAGGAAACAAATGCTCGCTCCCTTCAATGAACAGGTTGTGCATCAATCTATTCCGAAATAAAGAAAGGAGCGTTTAAAAATGGGGAGGAAGTTCAGTTTTTGAAGGCAGTTCGGTTCAATTATTTTGAGCCGGACGTACATGATGAGTCAGCTCGAACGAGCTAATCTTGAAGGGGCTGCACGAAGGTGCGCACGCTCGCTTTGAACAATATTGAACAGTTCATTGAACATGCATTGCGTCGAGTCGAAGTGGCAGACGAATACTACTGTACACGTGCGTACCTTGAAGCAAAGCAGGTTGCCAATTGCACCTTGCACGCCTTCCTTGATATGCTATTCTTGTGAGCTTCAGCCAAACTGCTGTGTCCCTGTACATGTACACTGTAGACCTAAGTTGGTGCAGCGCAATGCGTCGCGAACGATTGTTTGCGCTCCAGCCAAGCGTAGACAATGCACTAGGCGCGATCCCAGGCCTAGAAATGATACATTTTCTCATGTTGAAAAATTCATCAGTCAGCGTTCACGGCCGAGAAAAGTCCTTCAGCCGAGAGAATTCAGATTACGCCCGATGCTCGGTCTTCTTTCTTTGCTCGATGGCCACGACAAATCTCCCTTGCAGGCGTTCGGTTGAGAGATATCAGGGATGTACGGCGCTCATTGCCCGCAGCGCCGTACATGTTATATCGTACAGTTCAGGTCAGGTGCAGCACAGCTCGCAAGATACTCCACATACGCAAACGCTTTGAAGACATTTGATGCAAGAAAGTCAAATGGTAGATGCTGTATTTATTTGGTACAGGAAGCTAGCACGCAGTCGTTTATACATGTATAGCTTGAATACATAAGGGGTTTTGTGTCGCATGCACTTCCTTTCGGCCACACGCGTTCGGTGTTGGATCAAATGATAATGATACTAGTAAGGAGCTCAGAAGAGCAACTCCAACAATTCGCTGGCGCAATCTTCAAGCGTTGGGAATTCGCCCGAATCACTGGCTGTAGAGTCCAACGGGATGAGGTCGTCTTTGCTGATCCCATCCATCTTGATCACGGGGTCGAAAGTTCCAACGTTTAGCCAAGTGTTACCGAGTGGGTCATCCGAGGATACCGGTGAGCCTGCTACTGAGACAACCGAGGACTTGGAGTCGAGGATTTCGATAGCGTCCGCAATGGACATGTAGATCTTACTGGCATCGTCCATATGCGGACAGTCCTTTTCAGTGCAGGTACAGGGTAGCCGCATCTTTGAGTAGGAGCCAAGACCGAGACCACCGGCAGACGACGGCGTCTGCAATGATCGTTGCGCAAGCGCGTTGTCCACTACGATGCCCCGACGGGTACTGTGCAGTCCGTGTCGCGCCGCTGCCTGTTTGCGCTGAGCCTCGCGCAGTCGGCGTGCTGCTTTCAACCGGTACTTTTGCGCGTGGGTCATGGTTTGGCGTACATTTCGCGTGCCGACGTAGGCGGCCACACGCTTCCAGGGTCCGCTCGAGAAGAGCTTGACGCCTTCGAGGAAGCGGGCGTGCTCTTCCTCAGTCCACATGCCAACGCCGGCCGAAGGTTTGCTGCTGCTGTACTGAGGCGCGGCCTGGCGCATTGCTGCCTGGAGACTCATGGTGCTTTCGAGGTGAATTGAGGAATGGGAAAAAAGTGGCAACACTGAGTGTTGCAGCAGTTTTTGCTGCGGGGTGAAGTAGCTTTTTTCGTGTTTGCTCGCTGCCGCAGATTTGTGAATGAAGTCTCGGCGAGACTTGAACGGCAGAGACACTTCAGAGCGTTGATGTGCCCGTAGTACCCACTTTGCTCGTTGGTCTCTCAGTCACACGCCCATCATGGCGCTCGAATCCTTGATGCGAACCAAAGGCTCTCGAGACGCAGCCGCAAACCAGCACTTCAAAATCCAGCCCCTTGGCGGGGATGCTTTCTACCGTGTTTACTTCCAGTACAGTAAGTACATGTACAGAATCTTAAGGCAGATTATGGCCAGGTTCCCAAACCAGAGAGTGGTGACCTTGTCCCAAAGGTTTACTGGCGCGGCAAATACAGGCGCATTCTCAACGCATGGCGTGACCTTTACTGTCACGAAAGCTCACTGGCCCAGTGAGCCCAGTGACTGGGAGGTATAACCGTATCGTTGTCAACACAGAATGAAATCTTTACAGTACATGTATAATTCTTCGTTTTCGAATATGTACTAGCGCAGGAGCTACATACATGTACTTACCGGTATATGGAGCCACGTAGCTGAGGCGAAGGCGCCGGGTTGCTCGATTTGCAGTGAAGATGTTGGTTGGTGCGAAGGCCGAAGAAGGCTGACAAGAGTGGCAAACGTGCGTTAAGGCATGAGTCAGGCGCCGAGTTCTCCTCTGAGGAGTGTCGATGAGTTTTTCGTTCTTGGATTTTGAGAGCGTAATCAACATGAGTCTGAACTTTCAGAAACGCTAAACTAAATACACTGCACTGGTTGTGCAGTCTATTAATAACAAAGAGCGGTGCGAGGCAGGTGGACTTGGACCGACAGCTGCGGCTCCAAGCGGCTATCCCCATGTTAACTGTTTTCTTTGATCGAGCACTTGACAGTAATTCGTGTTGCTTCAGCTTAATCAGCTTCGCTTCTAGAAGCGCGCCGAAGCAGCGAATGCAGCTATCGGTGGATTGTCGTGAGCGCTGCTAGACGTGTCGCTGTGGCGACCACGACATTGTCAGCAACAATTTACGAAAAGCTGAATGCGAATGCAAGGACAATAGAGCGGACTCGCAACACGGCAATCCTTTTTCCTCGTCACAACCGTAATCTCTTTTTGACTTGAATCAATCGATGCATTTAGTGCTGGAAATAAGAGGAGATGCTGGAGAGGCCTGGAAGCAGGAGCCTTTTCGAAGCGGTAGCCACTCGTTTAGCAACGTGCATCCGCGATAGGCGTACATTACCGGTACGCACGAACTTCGTGCGTACGCCTATCGCGGTTCGTGACGAACGCGGAGGAGCATAGGTGCGCTCCCATCGACAAATGCTGACTCGTCAAGCAGCGCGAATGGCGGCGTCCATCTGGTGCCGCAGGAGGACAAGTTGAAGCTATCCATTGTTTGACATTGTTTATTGTGGAGCTACAGTATTTTACATGTGAGCTTAGTGTTGTTACTCGTCAATCCTTGTACGGTAAATGCTTCAGCTTGGATAATGCTCGCAGTCGCAAGACCTGCACTATAATTTATTGGAACTCCGTTCCAGTGTGTCCATGTCTCGTTGTGCCTGGTCTCCCATGTGAATTCCAACATAATTTAGATGACCAACATGGTGCGTCGGAGGCGTCACTGCATGTACATGTAATGTCAAAGGTGGCCACGTAGAACACCCCTTCTCAAAGCGTAAAAGCTCGCGGACGTGGATCGCGTGATGCCTGTTTGAGGGATGATTTGCGCAGAGTTGTTAGGGCAGTACAGTACGGAGTGATGACAAAAGTAGAGTGATCTAGGCGGCCGTAGTGGAGAGGAAGTCTTGAGTGTAGAAGGAGAAGACGCTTGTGGTGGACTTGGTAAAAGGAGAAAACACTTGTGTTGGACTTTGGTAAAAGAAGAAGTGATGAATTATAGAGTCTGATGTTCTGGATGTTACTCTCCACCAACCAGTCCAGTTATATACGATTTCTCTATATGAAATAGCACAATTATATTCCACTAGATAGTCATCATCACATGGGAGATGCTTACTTCAACAATGCCCCCTGTACTACAGTATCTAGGATCAAATAAATGGGATCCCAGGCTTTATAGGGACTTTCTTACTTGTACAGTACATGTACATGTACACTGTACATTGTACAGTGCATGCAGGAGACAATTAAACTAAATTGCACATGCATTTTTCATTCCAGCAATTTTTTCCTACTAAAGTACGTTTTTTCACTTTGATAATTACAATCAAGGCTGCGTGCAATGTGCTTTGTTATTGATTAAACGAGAGTCAAAATAGTAGCTGAAGCAGTTCAGTAGCGCACTCTTCCAGGGTCGGGGTGGTTGTTAGATCCTCGAGCGGATTGATCTCCTTTACATCCAACATGGTTACGTCCAAAGACGCAAAGTCCTCGGCTGATGTGTGGTCGGCCGATTGGATTCCCGTGGCAAGACAAACCGACGGCAGGGTATCCGCTCCTAGAAACCAGGTTTCTCTTCGGTGCGGTGAAGAATTGCGGACCGGGATTGGCTCACACTCGAGGTGGACGTTGCTTTTGTAAGCAGCCCCTACGGATCGAAGACGCTCTTGTACGAGGGATTCTTCACTCACGTGGTGTCCAAAGTGCATACGCATGAGAGCCTGCTTAGTACGCAGGCCGCGCAACGACGCGCGGCTTTTTGTCGGTATTTCTGGGCGTGGGTCATCGTTTGTCGGACGGTGCGGGTACCCACGTATGCAGCCACGGATTTCCAGGGGCCGTTGGAGTAGATCTTGATGGCTTCGAGAAATTTTGCATGCTCCTCCGTACTCCACACTCCAGTGCACATGCCTTCAGGGCTTGTCGGTCTGCGCGGGGAGGACTCGTATCCCTCATCGTCCGTAAAAGATGAAGTGTCGAAGTCGACCTCCATCATGTCCACCGACTGTCTCAAGTGCTCGTCATTCAATTGGCCGTCGGGTGCGTCCATCGTGGAGACAAGCGATCGAGCGGGAGATTCGTCGTCGCGAGGATGACTTGACTCGATAAATGTGCTTAACACAAAGCAAAATCGAAAATACTGAAGTGTTTTATCCCTGTAAACTTGCCCGTGGCCGCTGAAGGGCGATCCTTCTACAGCTCTGGCCTTTTCCATTCTCGACTCATGAGTCATGGCCCCTCGCCCTGCGCATCTCCGTGGCGTTGGTGCTCGTACGTACATTTAATAGAGGAAATCATTGGTTGAGAAACGGTGTACACCTTGAAAAAACGCTCGGATAAAAAGCTTCGCAACGTTTCGTAACGCTCGTATGCTGGCAAAATCAAGTGCAGAGAGGGAAACCAGCCAGTAGCGATACAATATCACCAGTTTCCACGATATGTTGGCCAGTGGCGAATGGCCACAGCGAAGTTGCCACTGAACTTTGCACGTGCGATTCTTAATTTCCCCACCTGAATCTTTGGTTGCGGTTGAGTTGCCAGGCTCAGAATGTGGTCGACGGTGTACGCAAACGTGTCTTTACTTCTCGGGTCGAGGAGCGAGATAGTTTTTCGATCGCTGAGCGAAGTCGCTTTTCTATATACTGCTGGTCATTTTCACATGGGCCAGGTTGGAGAAATGATGTGTTCAGACGAGCTCCGATAAATTAGAAGGCGATAAAGCTAAGAACGTTGTACACTGAATGCGGTGCCTGGTCTTATTCGCTAGTTGAGTAAAGATGCACATTGTAACTTAGCGAACCGTTGTTGAATCGATGTCGCGACGAAAGAACCAATACAGTACATGTAGTGTAGAAGGTCAGTGCCACTACTGGAACAGTGTAATGCCCTGTTCTCGTCGCGTTGTCTCTAAGCTAAAGCGACTTGAACGTATTAAAGCTAAGGAGACTCTAATGTGGCCGTCAAACAGCAGAATTCACCCTTTCCGCGGCATGAACGTGGCGCCATCATAGCCCTGTTAGCACCAAATGTGTAAAGCGTAGCTAAAAGCAGTATGTTCTGTTTTAATGGCAAATCAGAAGTCAATTTTTGGGGGCGTGCAAGAACAATTTCTTTCTCCTAGGACAAATTTGTAAAACGCGGCGAAGCTTCGTTTCCTTCATTTACAGCGACATCAAGCTTAAACCTCTTCAAGATATTGTAAAGAGCACCCTGCCGCCTGCTTGTCCACGCATCGAAATACATGTAAGTATTTGCCAACATAATGTGAGGTACTGTAATGGTTGCTGTCGATCGTGGATCTTGACCGAAAACCATTCAATTTTCCCGCATGCGAATAAAGAGGATATATGTTTCAGAAACAAAAGAGATTATTTGTAGACAATTCAAACCATAAAAAATCATTAGAATTAGAAGGTTTGTTTTGCAGCGGCGGCGGTCTATTGATATCTGGGAAAATGAACGAGCTTTGGAGCTCGTCGCAGTGTGCTGATGCATCAGACGACTCCATCCGCGAGGTGCCCGTCGCATCGCCAGTGCCTCGTGCAATAGGTACGCCAGCCAAGGTGCGGCGCCGACTCACGGAGCTGCATGATGTGGCGCAATTGGGATTCGGGGGCTGTGGAGGCATGTACAACTACTTCCTGGGTGTGGCGTCCGTCCTGCAGGAGGAGTATGACCTTCAAAGTGTGATATACTCCGGCGTATCGGCTGGATGCTTCCCGGCATTGATAATGGCTCTAGGCATGGATGCGAAGGAGTTCTTCTTTAAAGAGAACGTCCCGCTGATTGAAGAAGCGGCAGAATGCTCCTACGCGGGGCTGGGCAAGTACGTTTAAAGTATCGTACAGTAGATGCATAAACAGCAAAAATGCTGAAGTTTTCAAGTGTTTTCTGCCATGTAGATGGATCCCCATGGTCAAGCGCAACATGCTGAAGGTGCTCCCATCGGACGCGTATAAGCACGCAGACAAGAAACTTTACTTCTCGGTCACTGAGGTGCCTGCGTTGCGCAACCACCTCTTTACGACTTGGACCAGCAACGAAGAAATGGTGGACTGCATGTTGTGCTCGGCCCATGTGCCACTCTACACGACGTCGCTGGCGGCATCATACCGCGGAAAGCGCTTTGTCGACGGTGGCTTGACTAACAATAACCCAGTGCCGCACCCGGATGCACCGAGCAAGGTCTTTCAGATCTGGAAGTGGCGCTGGTTTGCACCTACGTGGGTCCTTGTGACGACTAACTCCGATTGGGCTGTCGAACTATTCCGTATGGGTCGTGAGGACGCTACCAAGAATCTACACGAGGTAGATGAAGTGTTCTTCTAGACCCAATTCGATGAAAGGGACCACGGTATGTCCGCTGTAGCTGAATGAAAAGGAGTTGACGGTATCTATAGCAACGGTGCAGAACCTGAGCATTGACTATTTTGTAGTCGAGCGTACTCGACAAAGGCGACTGGATTCCTGCGTTTCTCAACGTCTCGCAGGCAGGCAGCGGCCGCACGAAAGTCAACGGCCTCTGCTCTTAGTGAGCCGACGATGCCTTTACAATATCCAAGGCTTTCTATTACATGTACAGACCCACAGGCAAAGGCATCAATTATCATCGATGAAGTGACAGGATTTCGGCGCACTTGATTATGCCCAATGAGCTGTAGCCAACTCAAAATAGGTCACATTTGGCCTCTCATACCCGATACTGTACCATCTGTACCTTGTTAGTCATTCAAAATCCTTCCGTCCGTTTCCCTCTCTTATTTTATGTTGAAACATCGACCAAAAAGCTTCGCCTGATCTCATTCCTGCATCTTGCGCCCTTACTGGAAGCATGTTGCCAGATGAGGCCGCATCTGTCGTGAAGGCCGAAGAAGACGTCGACGTCGCCGGCACTCGCACAAAGCGCGCTAAGTCCAAGACGAGAGCCAAGAAACGCAACGTCGACATGTCCGGACGACGTCCCAGCAGCGAGAAACCTCGACGCTCGACGCTCAAGAGCCCGCAACAGAAGCGCGAGGACTCGAGCGCCAACCTCGTGGGCTCTTCATCATCCTCTGGTGACTCAGACGACCGTGACTCGAGTTCCAGCAGCGAAAAGAGTCACAAGAGCCACAAAAGCAGCGAAAGTGGAGGCGTTACACGTCGCCGCACGAAGAGAAACCCCACGTCGCACCCTAGTGACCAGAAGAGCTACGAATTATCGTCTTCCACCCCTAAGCCAGGCAAATCCGATATCTAAAGCCTGACGAGATCCAAAGTGGACAATTACCCGACTATGACTTCGCCGTCATCGTGAACCGCAAAGTCCATTTACCTGGCTGTATCAAGAGAGCAATTTGTTGTCTTTGTTGCTGTACCACTTCAGCTGGACAGTCGGCAGTGCCCCGAACCCCCATGGACAGTCTAGCCGAGGCCAGTCACGAACGTTCAGGCTTTAAACGCCTGTGTATGGCCAGTCCTCCTGTGTTGAATGAGAGCGAGGACGAACACCGGAGGATCGTCAACAAACTGTGCAGCCAAGGGCTCCTCGTGGATATCATCGATGGAGGCGACTCGAAGGGCGAAATGCACTCTGGATACCTGATTCTCCTGGTCCGAGCGCCTGACGCTGTGGTCATGTCGCTAGTCAAGCAATTCCGAACGCAAATGTGGATGGAACACGGAGCTGTAGTGGACATGGAACAAGACGTGGCTCAGCGTCGAGACGACCCCACGACGCCAGCCGAACGCATTGAAATCGTGGATTTTATCATCGAACAACGCGTGCGACTGTCGAAACGCGATCTTTGGATCCACGATCTCTTCCCCATGCACAATCAGAGCGTGACGGACACGCTGATTCATCGGTGGGTTACGTCCTGGCGGCTGCACGAACTGGACGACAAGAAAGTGCTGCGCTCGTTACGGTACAACTTCGGGGAGAAAGTGGCGTATTACTTTGCGTTCCTCAAGTATTACAATACGTGGCTCATCCCACTGGCAGCGATTGGGATTTTACTGGAACTGCTGCGTGGCGTGATCTCCATGACGTCGTACATGCGGCTGCTGCCCTTCTGGGGTCTCGGAGTGTCTGTAGTGTGGGGCTTTGGCTTCCTCAAGTCCTGGGAACGCGAGAATGCGTGTATGCAGTATGACTGGACGGGGAAGCTGCACGTGAAGCAGATTGAGTATCGCAACAAACAGTTGTACGAGACAATTCCACAAGTGAAATGCCTTTGACAGGGGAGTAGACGGGAAACTGGTTGTAATGGCGGCCGTGGAAGA